AACGTATAAAAAATTTTCTTTAATAATTGTGTAACAATCGGATCGTCATTTCCATAATTGGAACGTTCACCCCTGTTGTAAAAACAGTGTCCTACGCTACGCTCCGGACAATAATACGATAAAACTGATTAAAACTGGTTTTATCCCTTTTGATGCCCAATCTATATAAAGTTTAAATTCGTAATGTTAAAATTACTTAAATATGATTACGTATTAGATTTATGTTATTACAATTTCCTTTTATGCGAATTTAAGTATTAATTTGGGTGTCAAAGGACAACATATTAAAAATAACAGTTTCAAGCATTATTTGTGGGACACAGAAACCCAGGCTTGTACCTCAAAGCATTACTGTAACATCAAATGAATCTTAGAAGCACTATGCCAATCATTTGGATATCGTACGTACGTACGTATAAAAATGTCTTCCTAGTCATCAAGTTTGGATTTTTTAATATTGGAATAAAGCGTAGCACTATGATTAAATTTTTAATTAAATTTATGTTTAATGGATTTCTTATCGTTTTTTGCAATTGCATATTGACAATTACGTCCTTTAGTTTAAAATATGGATTGATAAAAGATCCATTATTTTTGTCGCTAAATGGACATTTCTATTATCTTTTAGGGTCACTTTATTTATCGATGAGTAAATTTGAAGAATCACTTGTGTATTTAAATAAATCACTGGAAACCGATTTAAATAATGAAACATCATTAGCACTGGTATTAAGTAGTAGAGGACTAGTTTATTTTAAAATAGGAAGATATGAAGAATCACTTATAGATTTAAATAAATCATTAGAAATAAGACCAAATTCTGCAGAGGTATTAAATATTCGAGGACTATCTTATCTAAACTTGGGCAGATATGAAGAATCACTTGTAAATTTAAATAAATCATTAGAAATAAATCCAAATTTTGCAAACGCATTAAGTAATCGTGTATTCATTTATTTAAAGATAGGAAGTTATGAAGAATCGTTTGTAGATTTAAATAAATTATTGGAGATCAATCCAAATTCTGCAGTAGCATTAAGTAATCGAGGATTAGCTTATTATAATATAGGAAGATATGAAGAATCACTTGTAGATTTAAATAAATCATTAGAAATTAATCCAAATTTTGCAGTAGCATTAAGTAATCGAGGATCAGTTTATTCCAAAATAGGAAGATGTGAAGAATCACTTGTAGATTTAAATAAATCATTAGAAATAAATCCAAACTTCCTAGAAGCATTAGTTAATCGAGGAAAGATTTATCAAATCATGCACAGATATGAAGAATCACTTGTAGATTTAAATAAATCATTAGAAATAGATCCAGATTGTGCGGGAGCATTAAATAATCGAGGAATGACTTATCAAAGCATGGGTAGATATGAAGAATCATTTGTAGATTTAAATAAATCATTAGAAATAGATCCAGATTCTGCGGGAGCGTTAAGTAATCGAGGAATGATTTATCAAAACATGGGTAGATATGAAGAATCACTTGTAGATTTAAATAAATCGTTAGAAATTAATCCAAACTGTGTAGAAGCATTAAATAATCGCGGAGTAACTTATTCTAAAATAGGAAGAGATAAAGAATCACTTGAAGATTTAAATAAATCGTTAGAAATTTATCCAAACTTTGTAGAAGCATTAAGTAATCGAGCCGCAACTTATCAAAGCATGGGCAAATATGAAGAATCACTTGTAGATTTAAATAAATCATTAGAAATCCGTCCAAATTCTCCAGAAACATTAAATAGTCGAGGAATAACTTACGCCAAATTAGGCAGATATGAAGAATCACTTGTAGATTTAAGGAAATCATTAGAAATAAATCCAAATTTAGAAATGGCATTAGTTAACCGTGGATTAATTCATCAAGAGATGGGCAGATATGAAGAATCACATGCAGATTTAAACGAATTACTAATTAAATCTCACTGTGCGAATGTACAAAATACTAACGGGGTGACATCTCTAAGGTTCGGAACATGCGCAAATTGTAAACAATACAATTCAGGAATTGACTTCTGCCATTCATGTGATTCTCAAATAAAGCGAAAGTGGACTAGCGGAGATAAGAAGATAGATGAGTTTATAAAAAATGCACAAATGAATACACCATATTATCATAAAATTATTGAATGGATACCTTTTGATAGATTAGAAAATATTCAAAAAATTGGTAAAGGTGGATTTGGCACAATTTATTCAGCTACTTGGTTTGATGGTAAACGAGTTTATAGTTGGGATGAAACGAATGGAAAATTTATACAGACACGCGAGCAATTTTGCTAAGTTGCTCTTAAAAGTTTAACTGGAACACAAAATATTTCATTGAATTTTTTAAATGAGGTATTGTAAAATATATCATAGTTTGTCATTAATACAATAAATTAAAATGAATAACGGTTTATATTTATCTTAAAGTTTAAAGCGCATTATGAATGCCAACTTGAAAAATTTAGCGTAGAAAAATATGGGATAGAAACATACGGAATAACTTATGATACAAATAGCAAGGAATACATGATGGTTTTTGAATATGCAGATAAAGGAGATCTTCGACGTTATTTGTCGGAAAATTTTACAAGTCTTACCTGGAAACAAAAATTAAAACTCCTTTATTCTATATCGGATAACCTTGATTATATTCACCAAAGATACGTTCATAAAGATCTTCATAGCGGCAATGTACTTATAGTTAGTACTGGAAGTTTTGACTTAAATGCTTTATTATATAATGTTTATACTGTGAATCATAAAGCGATAATGATCACACAAAACATTGGAAAAAGGTCAAATATTGAACCAAAGATTACAGATTTAGGACTTTCGAGTAAAATAGACGAAATTAATATAGGGAGTGGAACATATGGAGTAGTACAATATATTGCTGATGAAGTATTATTGGGTCAACCGTATACAAAAGCTTCGGATATTTATAGTTTAGGTGTAATTATGTCTGAAGTATCTACTGGGAAACCACCCTTTGAAACTTTATCATGTAGGACAGTACAAACACAAAAAGTTTTGTGCAGATTGAGGCCAGAGTTTGCGAAAGGAACACCTGAATGTTATGTTGAACTTGCAAACCAATGTATGGATAGAGATCCAACAAAACGACCAACTGCTAAAAACGTTTATGAGAAATTACGAGAATGGAAAATAATCCTTGACAAAAGAACTGAAGAATTAAATGATGAGGAGCTTAAAATTAAAAATGAATTTTTAAAAGCAGATGAAATCATGTTTTCACAGTTAGAAACTTCGCAACGGCATCTAGATACAGAGTATACAGCTCAACTTGAAATTTTGCCACGAGATTCGGACGCTGTTTATACATCTCAACATATTTTATTAGGTAAATTTAATTATTATTTTACTATATTATTTTTTCATAATAGCATTGCTGAAAGCAAATTTATAATTCTAATAGATTCTGATGTTTTGGATCTTGAAATTCCATCTTAAAATTAAATACGCCATCTAAAATTAGTACCTAAATAATTTATATGTTTAAGAGAAATAGTGCACTAAAGTTACATAAATAGGTCATAGATACATTTGGACCATATTATTCTTTCGGCTTATTAAGTTTATAATTGAATATTTTATTATCCATACACTACCTAATTCTTTATTTGCATTACTTCTTTTATAGTTTTATTTTTGTTTGACGTCTTTTATTGCTTATTTAATATTTATTACGTGCGTGCCTTATATTTTATAGCTATTATATTTTATTTACTCGTAACTGCATGGTTGATGAATGGATTAGCAATGCGTATAAGTCGACCTGAAATAGAAGTTGTATAAA